TACAACGTGACTGGCAGTAATAACAGTTCCTATCAAATATCTAATCATATTTTGCGATTCACAGACCGATGCCAAGCTAAGCTATGTTATCTTTATGTGCAACTGCCGAACGACACTCAGAAAGTTATACATTTTGATGCAAAAGTAAACAGAGAAGCATTTCTCAGTGGCATTCCCAGAATCCTATGAACTAAGAGATAGAAGATGTCATTGAAAGTTAAAAAAAATATGTTAAGAACAAGGTGCGACGTGCTTGTGAGCGTGGACAGTATTGTAGGTCGTCATAAAATGAAGACTCTCACTCAAAACACATGTTCATTCATATTCCAACCATCATCCATATCTGCATCTGCCCTCGATCCCAAATGACGCATGATCAGCCGCACCTTAAAATCATAAAAAGAAACAAATCCGGCTGTGGGTGTGGTTCAAGCGAAGTTCCACAGCAATGCACACCCACACCCTACTTTCAAGTTCTTACCATTCTGTGAAATTTTCTGACTAGAAAATCATGGAACTGGATACCTGAATGATTGACCAGACATTCGCCAAGGATATTATTCATCTACCCTGGCAGAGAAAAATCTAGAAGGTCCATAAACAAAGAAGCCTTGGGAAACTTGACCAAAAGAGTACAAAAGTAAATAATCCGACGAACTTTTATAGTTTCCTAAAAGAAACTAGCTGAAAATGGAGTGTTGAAGCTCGTTGAATATAAGTCAGATCCAGCAGATTCTTACCGGGACTCTATAGGAATTCTGCTTCCGAGATCTTTGCCAAATCTAAGTGCTGCATTTCATTGGATGAATGCAGATATCCGAAGGTCGGATCATTTAGTGGTTTTGATATCTAGATCGTCATCGAATTTTGTTGGTTGGCTAGAACTTACTGAGTTCGATAGCGGATTTATTCAAGTAGACTCAGATTGTGGATGTGTGAGCATGTCAGTATGAGAATTTTATCTTCACGTTCATTTATATTTCCACTCTCATACTCTTTTTTAACACTATTTTCTCCAAAATATTTTTGGGATAGGCCAAAGTTGGAGATGAGGTTTAATGGCAACTATCTTAAGGTTTTCGACTTCGATATGCTATTGTCAATGTTAAATTGCAGTTTTGTTGAAGCACACTTTTCACTTGTAATATCATTCCCATATTTTTGTAGCATCTTCTAATATGCATCATTATACGCTTTAAGGTTGAGAAACAAAGAAATTCTCTTCTTATCATAATGTTTTTTCTTTATGATAATTCGCCATTTTGTGCCTTATCTTTCTCAAATAGAATCACTTCAGTTCATATTAAGATAAGTGTCTTCGTCATCATATTTCTACTTTCTAGTGATACTTCTACTCGTGTCAACTAAAAATTTAGAGTGTTTGGAAACAACCAGCATAGTATGTAGATAACGTTGGTTACGGACACAAATTTAAATCTGTAACTCTTGCTAATTAGTGAAACATGGCAACTGGTAGAACTAAAAAACCCTGTATCAAATGTGATAAAGGCGTAGGCATTATTCTATGTGGTGGATGCGAAGAATGGTTCTGTACCAAACACTTCACAGAACATCGACAGGATCTTGGTGAAAAGATGGATCATGTCGGCCAACAACATGATTTCCTCCACAAAAAGTTAACTGAGACTAATGTTATACATCCACTCCACTCACGCATTAATGAGTGGGAGAATGCATCAATTAAGAAAATTCAAGAAGTGGCAAAAAAAGCTAGAACTGATTTAGAAAAATATTTAAATGAAACGAAAACTGAATGCAGAGAATCGCTCGGCAAAATAAAGAATGAATTAGCATCGAGTCGTCAATCGAATGATTATACCGAAATAGAATTGAAAGAATGGACTGACGAAATAAACAAACTTCGCCAACTGCTTGAGAAACCATCGACCATTGATATTGTTGAAGATGGTCAATCCCAGCCACTCATTCGTGTTGTTCAACAGAAAGGTACGTAATTCAATGAAGTACATTCGATTGAATTGTAGAACAGAATTCAAAAGAGGCATTTAGTTGTGATTCAGTGCGACATAGGAGTCGAGTTGATCTGAACCAAACTATTAGTTCTTCCATTATGATTGTTTTCTGGATTTCGATATAACAACCATACCTTGCAAGTCATAAAGGATTGTACTAATTGTTTCCAAATCGATAGTTTCTTATTTAGTGTATTTTCTTACGTATCTATATGAGATAGGTCGCTTTTTCTAAATTTTGTTGTCGATAGCTTTTGATAAATGGTAAAGTCACGATCTTCCATTGTGTTTTTACGAAAATCTTCAAAAAAATAGCATGATCATAAGACATGTTTTCAGCCGATATATCACAAAGAACGAGTGATTCAAATGGTTGCGCTGAAAGGCTTTGTCGGCAAAAATTTTCAGAGATTTGATTGGCAAAACAAATTTCAAATCAAAACCTTGATGCACAATTTTTCTAACAATCCGACTTGATGAGGGTGAACTACCTATTTTAGTCGATTTTCGATCATGTATCTGACTGTCGGAGCCCACTTGCTGTCTGAAATGTATTTCAACAACAAATCTATGTATACGGTAGCATTGCGGCAAGAATGTCAGTTACTTTCAACAATGCAATATTTCAGAGCAATCTCATAGAAAGTGTAACTTGACAGCCAATTTTGAATTGAACCTGAAGAAGCGTTTTGGTCACAAAGTTCATACCGACAGCCCCAAATAGGAAAGTAGTTATAAATTCTAAGACTCAATAGCGATGAGAAACTCTTTCATGCTGAACACCTAGGTAATTTTTCGCGTAGAACAGACTCAAAACTAGTACTGAATTGACCCTTTTATCAATGACAAGTCCGACTCGAATGAACTTTTCAAACAGGCCTATTGTCACCTGTTTTTGCCAGTTCTTTATTACTTGCTAGAATACCAAAACTAGTATGTTTTCGCTGGTTTTAACGATTTTCATGGTTTGAATGTTTGAGAAAAACGAATTCGAAACTTTGAGTCGGTAAATTTCCAGTCGACATCGACACTTCAGCTCTCAATTTTGATTTAATGCTTCCCATCATACAACGAGTGGTCTGGAAGCATACGGAATGTATCGACGATGGTCAAGAAAAGCTACTCACCGATTCAGAACTTAAACTCGATATAAACTAATGAATTTCCATCTCAGAATGTCGAGCTTACTTTTGAACCGCTTGCCACTGACTTTCAGAAACTCTTAATGGCCATCTCATGAAAATTTAGAAGAAAATTTAAGTCTTAAAAAAAAATAAGTCTGAAGTTATGAAGTCTATTTTATAATCAAAACTTTGTACCTTATATAGATTCGGTATCAACAAAGGTGGCTGACGAATGGAAAAGTCCTTCAAGTAAGGTTACCAGCTTTTCTTACCTTTTTCAAAGGAACTAAAGGTAAAGCAGCATCCTACTTTTCCGTATACTAAATACTGATTTTAAATAAGCAATCATCAAACTTATCATTTATTGCGAAGAAATCATATAATTTTGAAGGAAAAGTTACTAAAATAAAGCACAGATATATTGATTTATATCATTTGTTATAAGGTACCTCATGAAAATTTTTGAATAAGTATTCCTTCGGTTCCCACTATTTGCATTTGTCGGATCCGACAGACTAAACGAACGATGTTAGTATTAGAAATCTCAAGAGTTGTATGAATTTAACTTATTTCCTTTGTGGAACTGTATTAACAAAATTTTTCTCAAAAGAAGTACTGGATTGATCGGCATATGAAAAGGGCCGACTGAATTCTACAATTGAGCCAGTTGAGTTTCCATCAGTCCCAAGTCCAGCGTAGAATACGAGGTTGACATTCTCCTTACAGACTTTCTACCACAGGTAGCTCACTGTACGGCTAAGCTCTCATTAGTTTTGGTGGCTTCCTGATGACTCTCATCGAATCATCGTTTCTATTAAGTGAAGTTACTGATGAAAAGATGCATCTCGGCAGTGAGTCTTACGAGGAGAAACGCCTAGCATGTTGACGATCTATTTGATTTTTTTTTCCTAGAGGCAATAGTTTCTAATGAAATTGTAAAGTTTCAAATCCGAAGTGGCTATTCGACTTCCAGGACATCTACAGAAGCTGATTGACGTCACTGAAAATATGTGCGTTCGGATACAGAAAACACATGAAGTTATGAAAGTTTCTTACATCTTCAATATTTCCAGAATTGGGATAAGCGAGGCTCTTTTAGTTGATTAACCTACGCAAAATAGCATTTTATCAAAAATAGATTGTTCGACATTTGTTCTGTTTGAAAGAAACAGGTTTTCAAACTTTTTTAAAAATATGAAAAAAACCAAAGAATACTAGTCAATGGAGAAAAGGATAATTTTCGATTTTTAATAGTATTAATAATTACCAATAACTTTCATTTCAGTTTTAGACCAAACTTCAGAAGTGTTTTTTATCTAAGCACCACAAAGTGTCGTCCACTTTGTTACTCACGAAGCAAACATCCTATCAAAAGTAGATTTCAAAAAGATGGTAGTGACAATATCGATATATCACAAAAAGCAGTGTCGCATTTCCGGAAAAATCAAAAATCCGAAAGCAACACTACATCTTATACACCTGAGTATATCACTACGAAAGATGTGCGCACCTTTAGCATTTCTGAATTCTCATTATCTTTCCATAGAAATTTTCTTATGGATGAAAGTGTTGCTCGTCTCATTCAGAGAAACATTCATGTGCGACAGATTAGATGTTAGTTCACAGTTTCCACATTCCCCTTTTCCGAGCATATGACATTACTTTGTGTCTAAAAGTTGAAGAATAATTAACATTGACAGAATTTCGAAACTTTATCTACTATAGTGGTGTTCACATTAAGGACTTACGAGTATCAATACTAGCAGTATACTAAGTACCATTATCATTCGAGAATTGGACATCGGCTTCCAGTATGATTGATGATTTCTTTGAAAAGAAAACCAAGATTCAGCAACACAGTACTAATCTATTGTCCTCTATTTTAGAAGAAATTTATCTTTTCCACTCAAGGGACAATATTACGGAAAATGAGATGCATCAATTTTTCGTTATCGAAGTAAAAATACTTTCAATACCATTACTACGAGATTAAAGTATAAAACATGATGAAGTCGTTTTAATCATAGATAGAAACTTACACTATGTCAGTTACAACTTCTGAATGGGTCATAAGAGTATCATGTCTAGATGTACGCCATTAGTAGTCTTTGATGAACGTCACAACATTATATCCTAACAAGTAAAGCTTGAGTTTTTCTATTTCAGAATTTCTCAGATCAAAGATATTCAATATTTAAAGACAGATTTTAAGTTTGACATACATAGCTCTATAGAGCAAACTGAGGTATATTGGCATCTCTTGCTATATATTTCATTCATCATTATCAATCGTGTTTCACAGCAAAAACATATTAAACTTATCTTTGAATTATTTTGAATACTTTGACTTTCATTTAGAAAAACAAGAATTTGCCGAGCCCGGTACTTACAAGCCACTGGATCAGAATTATTCATTTCTCATGTGATCATTAATAAACATAATAACTTCGAGCGTTTACTCCGAGCAGACAAAAGTAGATGTACGAAATTTTTGTTATTAATATTCATATATTCTATAGTTTTTTATTAATTGATTGAAACCAATCTTTCACTTGGAGGGAGGAAAATTAGTGAACAAGATACTAAGGGTCGTTCTATTCAGCCACTTCTAATGTCATACTATAATTCATTGAAGAACTGCTTATTTTGCTTTGAAAGCATAAGGAGAAATGAACAGAATTTTCATAAGCGTGATTCATCTGTGACATAATATTCAATACTACCAGAAACTAGAACAGTTTCTTTCCGATGGAGCAAGATTTTGGAATAGAAAGCTTGTGCCAATTGCGGCAAATGCCGTTGTGTTCATTCGTTTCTCCCATGATCTTGAATTTCCAAGCGAACTGTGAATCATAATATTGAAGTAAAGAGAATATAAATGAACAGAACATTGATTCAACTGATTCATTGGACACATTATCTCCTTTGCTTAGCAATTCGGTAGTTTTTCTTTGAAGTGAATGATATAAATAAATATGACCGTTGGTACTACTTAAATCATTCTTTTAATGTGAGAACCTCGATGAGATGTTGAAATCGAAACAACATATATAATGTAGACAAAATAAGTCCATAGAACTTACTGGCGATGATGATCCTTCATTTCATCGATAATTCTCAATAGGTTTATCTTTCTTGAATATCTGCTTTCATGTGAATAGAACAGGCGAGCAAGATTATTCACAAACTTGGCAGTGGATGGTGACAATTTATTTGTAGTATGATCATTGAAGGTCTTCATTAATCGAAAGCTTTACAACAAAGCAAGTAAAATAGATGAACATAACATCAGAAATAAGAATTTTTCCTTTTTTATCTGAACTTCGATCTACTTAGTGATTTACAATCTTGGTTGCAAAAAGAGTGAGATCAGTGAACGCGAACATGTCGAGAATTGTCATCAGTCATTTACTATGTCATCTTTCGTAAAAGCCTATACTTTATGCTTTTCTTTTGATGAAAGCAACTCCAATGGATAGAAAAGTTGGACAAACGACGATTGGAAACGTTATCTTGATTCTTTAATATTGTAACCTTCTATGAACATATTGATGACAAACATTTCTTTGGTCATCTGCAAAGATAATTGAACAAAACTGTTGGAAAAAATATATTCGTATGCCACGGGATCTTTTTGGATCGAACATAATTTAAATATTTTATTCCAAAATGGATAACATAAGTGAACTTAATTCCAATGATGTACATTCACTAGTTATATGATTGTTGCTCAACGTAAGCAATGTAAAATCTTTATTTCAAAATGAAAAAAATAAATGAGTATAGAAATGGTAAGAATGATTTATTTAGCATGTGATCTTTTTTCTACTTATGAATGCATCATCTTTCATGTAAATGATGGGAAATACATGAATGAATTTCTGATTATATCACTCCTTCATTTATTACGTGTTGTTCGCTGAACAAATCGATTCACAAGCTTTGAATTAAGTATCAAAATGAGATGAAAACATAGATGAATAGGATCATTGGGGGCGCTTCCAACGTTCTCATTCTTCATTAGTCATGTTATAATTAATGAACTACGATCACTGCACCTACTGTTATTCAAAACAGATGTAATAAGTGAATAGAATTTTCGTTAGGATTATTTATTTGAAACGTAACGATGAATTAGCTACATATGTTCTAATATTTGTTTCAAGCTAATTGGAATAAACGAATATGATGTTGATCATAGTCATCCATCTGTCATTTGAAACATACACACTCGTATTTGTGAGGCAATTGTGCTTCGAACTTACTATCATTGATGAATGGATGGATGGCTATACGTGTACTTATTAAACATCCTTTGGCATGTGATGTTCGATGAGGTGAGCGAGTCGCAACCTTTGCTTCGAAGTGAGCAAAAGAGGTGAACAGAAGTCTGATGATGAATGTTCCTCTGGCATGTGATGTTCGATGAGGTGAGCGAGTCGCAATCTTTGCTTCGAAGTGAGCAAAAGAGGTGAACAGAAGTCTGATGATGAATGTTTCTTTGGCATGTGATGTTCGATGATGTGAGCGAGTCGCAACCTTTGCTTCGAAGTGAGCAAAAGAGGTGAACAGAAGTCTGATGATGAATGTTTCTTTGGTATGTGATGTTGGATGAGGTGAGCAAGTCGCAACCTTTGCTTCGAAGTGAGCAAAGAAGGTGAACAGAAGTCTTTTCAGGAGTGTTCCTTTGGCATGTGATGTTCGATGAGGTGAGCGAGTCGCAATCTTTGCTTCGAAGTGAGCAAAAGAGGTGATGGCAGAGATTGTTTGTGTGAGGACAACTGGCGAGTTTAAAGTTATCCAAAAGTTATTGTCGTTTTTTATAAAATAGAAGTGGAAAAGTGTGTTTAGTGTAACGAAAGCGCTTATTGTAATTAAAAATGTTTATTAATGTGTGAGAACATATTTTAAAGTTCGTAAACATCGAGCCACAAGCGCGGGCGTAGCCCGCGCGTAAGTAGGAGTACCCCTCTTGTGGGGTGCGTGGGGTAAAGTCGCCTGCTGGGGGGTTCGGGGACTTCGCCCCCCGGCTGCTTTAGAATTTATGGCTTTCGTAAGATGAATTGCATGACCAGAAATTCACGACGAGGCGTATTTGATAAGCTTGAGTCAACAACAAATTATTTTGGATTTTTAGTTTCATTAGTTAATGCCTGATTCAAAAGAGATTTGTGGTGTTTCATTTGATGTTTTTGGGTAGTTTCAATTTGTGTGGAGATATGAAATAAAAGGAAAGAGATTATGTGATTCAAAGGGTAAGTATGAGAAATGTACGTTTTAGTTTAGTTTTGCGAATTATTGTTTGAATACATCGAAAAATCATGAGGTTTTTGTTTTGGATTTCAAGTATAACGATTTCTTTAACAGTTATGTAAAGTGAATGATTTGCTGTTAACAGTTGTTCTTCGAATGCAGTAATGGCTGCTAAGCTTAGTATAAAACTGGCATTGGAAAGTTCAGATTGATTCTTAAGTTACAGCTGCCTCTAGTTTGAGACAAACCTTAAACTGTGTCAGGTTATTGATTATAGAATGTGTCAGTGTTAATGGTGGTCTCTTTTTGATGCATTGAAAGTTATATTCTAGTTGAATAGCATAAGCGATGATTTATCTATCTTTATATTGTCATAATCATAATCATGAAATAGTGGAAGAAGCCATCTATATGCTAATGTTTTTATTAACTGAAGAAACATCAATTCGAAAGTGTCAATTCCGGATTCTCTCGTTGTTTATAACTAAGATCATCGTGTAGCTCACACTCAATAGATACTTTCTTATTGGACTTAGTTTAATTCGTAAATTCGCCTGAGAACATACAATATGTTACACTTTCTTTCTCTAAAACCACATACCTCCAACAGGACATTGCTCATCATGGCGTATATTGCATAGCTCATATTGATGTTTCTTTCTAACATTAAAACTCATTTTCTACAACGAATAAGGAATCACTACCCGTACATACATCCGAATGATATACTTCTGCTCCGATGAAAAAATTGTTGTTGAATACAAATGTCAGTTAAAACTATCCAAGTATGAACAATAGCCGATCCATACTCATCTATCTACGTTTATACAAGTAGTACATCGATGATTCTCTATTTGTGTGCGAAGTGCGTTACTTTTCATGTAATCAGACATACATAAAAGCTCAATGACGAGAACAATACAAGGAAACACCTCACTACAAATACCGGAATTCATGAACCATAGCACCAAATGTTTCAAATTCTTTGACATTTCACATTCGTCTCACTAAGAAAAGTGACTAAAGATCAATAAAAGCCACTTTGATAAAGAGCGTGTCTTTATTCCAAAAACAAAAGCTATCACAAGGTATACCATTACCATGCCAAAGCGATACTTGAAGACAAAAAAACAAAACCAGTGTATTACATTCCACGCAAAATAATACATAAGACCTCATGGCCAACCTTCTGCTCCTGTCATCGACATGATCAGAGAGGTCACCCGATCGCATCAACCGAGTTCAATTCACCGATTCTTAATAAACGATCATCCGACCAAATACTTTACCACCCAGATCTGCATCAAACACTGTATACATCAATGCAAACGCAACTAACTATTGCCAAAACAAAATCTCGGTACCTATATAAAACTGCTTGCCACTTTCAGAATACAAAAACTCAGCAACACAAATACATACAAATACGTAACTAGCTTTCCTAATAATATCATAACATATACCAAGCAGTCTGAATTCAATGAATCACCAAAAGAATATATTACATTCAACAACAAAACCAATGCGAAAATATACATTGTCAGAGACAGCTATGAAATATGTACAACATTAAAAAAAATACAATACCGTATCTAATGAATGATCCATCCAAGTCGCCGAAAACCCACACAACCGGAGTCAGCAAACACACAAATGATTTACAAAAACAGAGCTAAACATTCCACGACCTACCGCAAAAAAACACTATCAAACCTAAACCATCTGTCAAACAGCCACATCTCTTTTGCTCACTTCGAAGCAATGGTTGCGACTCGCTCACCTCATCGAACATCACATACCAAAGGAACATTCATCATGAGACTTCTGTTCACCTCTTTTTTGTATTTCGTAGGAATGTTGGCGACGGGTGCACGTTCTGATTAGTATGTAGGAACTGCTAGCAGTAGTTATGTGCTGTGGTGGCTTTATATAGTGTGTGGTTATTTTCGTGTGGTGTTATGGGTTTTTGTAGCAAGTCGAAATAATACTTGGGGGTGTTCATGTTTTGATTGCACATACTTGGCAGTGCTCTAGTGGATGTAGAGCGGTGCAGTGGTTGCATATTGGCGAGTGGGAATGGTGGAATTGAATTGATGTTTCTAAATATGAATGGTTAAATGATGGAGCCACGTGTAGTACTGTACTAGCGCTTTTGGAAGGTATTGTTTGGTGA